TATAGTCCCCTTTGAGCAGATAGAATATGGGGTATATGGGGATCTTTTTCTAGCATACCCAAAGCATATTCTATCTACATAATGGGGACTATAGGATTTGTTGTTTAGCATCTATAGAGGGTCCAGGATTCAGGGTTTAGGTTTTTGAGTCCTGGGCTTAGGGCTGAGGGTATAGGAATTAGGATTTACGGTCTGGGGCTTTCGGTTTGGGATATGGAGTAACCCTAGATCCTAGACCCTAATTAGAGCTCCCATAGGAGAAGTTTTCAAAAGTTTTCTCCCCTTCCGCAATTAAAAGAGGTTTTGATAATCAGTAGCTTCTAAAGTATGAAATTCTTCAGAGGAAAGTTACCGTGCGCCCTAAATACCTGGTAGCTACGAGTTTTCGCTGAATTTTCTCACTCGTACTTTGCACATCACAGCTTCTGCGCTTCTAGGATATCCGGAACCTTAGTATCAGCTACCACGAGGTTCCGGCTTCAGGGCTTTGACTTTTGGATCCAGGGTCCACTTACTGGTTCTTGGCGGCGAGCAAGGGAGCATGTTATATAGTGATCATTTTTCCCTTATTCCCTACTAAGAGCCAGTAAGTGTAGGGTCAAGATGAAACTTTGTGCAAGCCCCAAGCAGCCGCGGAGCATGGCATATTTTCGAAGTTAGGAGGAGACCAACCTAAGTTATGTAAACAAGACTATCCTACAGTCTCAATAGAAACTATAGATCCCGACAACACACTAAGTGTAGGCGTGTAGGGTTCAGGACTCGTGTTTCGTAATGCGCTTACCGAGTTCTGAAGTACAAGGAGACACAACTCGCTTCGCATGCGGAGACGAAACTTGCTTGGCTGAAAGTTCCTTCAGGAGGGTGACGAGAAACTGCGTTGCTGTTAAGGAGTTCGAACTATGTTGCCATAAGACTGACATTCCGTTATACACTATGTCCTCACATTCTGGTAACTTGATTTAATGTTCTTTACAGCAACCCGACACCCCAAACCTTTCTTGTGTTTCCGCAGTCATCGAATCAAGTAATCCACGGTCATCGAAGGAAGTGAGGAATGCCGGCCAAAGGAACCCTGCAGCTTCATCTTGTTGAATTGGCGTGTCTACGTGTGTTCCAATTTGGCAAGAAGTCTGCTGACCAATGGCAGCACATGGGATTGTATAATAACCCCGCGCCAGAGAATTATGTCGAAGCGCGCCGCAAATATGTAAACTGTGGGTTTTAGTTGGGAAAACGATAAGAGGAAAAAAACGATAACACCCATTCTTGGACACGCATTGACGCGGATTCTCCTGTTTTCTGAAACTTGAAGATGGCCTTGTGGCTAGAAGGTCTTGCGTTTGCTCTCATCAGC